ACAAGGATCTTGTTGGAAATAAAGGAACTTTAGTCGTTATAGGTTTAGTTTAGTATGGGCCAAGTATTTACATATTATTGACTCGGCCCTTTATGACTTGTTATGCTTCGAGCTCTGTTCAGCTTTATGTTTATTTATGCATGGTACGCTTCTCCCGACTGGCCAGGTTTGGTAATAGAGTAATTTAAATCATTATCAGGTTTATAGGAACTATTTGTTGATATTGTGTTTGAATTGGAGGTGGTGGAAGGTTGTAGAAACTAGTGTTGTTAAATTAAACGAGTCTGGTTCGGCTTGTTCTCGAGGTCGAGGCCTTAACGAGCCGAGCTTGAGCTCATTTAAAGCTCGTTTGATTAACAGCTTGGCTCGTTAAGGCTTGAAAAGAGAATTTTCATATAATTTTCTATAGGGGGCGTTTACTTTGGCGGATTGGGATAGGATAAGACATTTATCCCGCTGTATCCTTCATTTACTTCTGCGGATTGGGACTAGATTATTCTGACATGGAGCCCATGTGGCAGCTCCCCATCCGCCGAGATCGGATTAAAAAATCCCGCCACTCCCATGTGATAAAATAATCCCGATTTTTGCATACCCTTTTTACCCTCAAAAGGTGCTGCAAACAGACCAAACTACCCCTTAGTTTCCTTTAAATTACAACTTTACTTTGGGCTCAATTTTTTTGCCCTAGCCCGTCTCAGAAGCAAAGACGCCATAACAGTGAGAGGAAGCTTCGGAATTTTCGCCCGTGAAGAAGGTGAGCTTCAACGACACCATTTTAACCTATTCCATTTCCAATTTACAATTTTATTTCCGTTCGTCGGAGGTTCGTGAATGAATGTTTGAACTCGAGCGTTTTGCCCTAATTTCTGCAGAAACGAACGCGACATTAGAGTGTTGTCTTCGGGGTTCTCCGCTTGGTGTAAAGGTATTCTCCAAACTCGCTTTATTCACCTTTTCCCATTTCAATTTTTCCCTACTTTGTTGTTTGCGGTTTGCCCTAATTTGTTGTTTGCGGATTTGTAAATCGATTCCGGAAATTATTTATGTTTTTGTTTGACTTATTAATTTATTTTTTTTTTTAATTTGTTTCTCCAAATGTTGTTTTCTCTGAAGACACAACAAAAATCCAGCAACATCCAGTTTTTATCCGTCCTACTCTAAGGTAAACCGCCTCTTTTTGATGTTCTTGCTATGTTTCATCGTTTCTGTTTTAATGTCCGAGACTCTGCCCATTGTGTTCGCATGCTACAAAATGATGGGATTTAAGGCTTAAATTTCAGTGCAGAATGGTGAGTCTATTGGCTTAAATTTCAGTTCTGAAGATACAAAAAGAAAAGCATGTTTTGTTGTTTCAGTTTCAATTTGTTGTGAACCGGTTGAGAACTGTTGACTGTGTTAAGGTGCTGCAAATGTGCTAAATTTTAAAAGATATTGGATCTCAGTTTCAATTTTGCTCCCACTGCTTTACTTTTAAATAGAGATATAGGGTTCAATGAATTAAGTTCTAACCTTTATCTTGTTTGAATGTGGCATATGCACTTGTGTGTTGTCTTTTGAACTTGTCATATGAGTTGTGTTGCTGCACTTTCTTGAATATGTTAGGCTGTGGTGTGTACTTCCTTTGTTTAAGTTTTGTTTATTACTGATACGAGCACCAACATCCTGAACTGCATTTGAATTCACAAAGATCATTTGAATATGCCTCTGAAATGAAACCTGTAGGTACTCTGCAAAGTATTGTATTCTGTGCAAATGTGCTTATTGTGGTTAAAATTCTGATTTACTGGGAGAGATAGCTTCAGATTTGAAGCATCCTTTAACTTGTGTTATTTGTTAGGTTGCAAGATGTGTTAACATGAACACCAACACTTAAGTGTGTTGTTTGTTTGGCTGAAAGGTTTGAAAGGCTGAAAATTTGTTGTGTTTTTGTAGCTTAAGAAGCATGTTCAAGTGTGTTATTTGTTATGCTGAAATAGTTTATTAGGCTGAAATAGGTGTTCAACCTTTTGCTTTGTGAGGATGAAAGTGTGTTATTTATGTGTATATTTAGGTGCCAGAGCCTTTTGATTTTTGTGCTGAAAACATGTGTTTTTATCTCCCAAATTAAGATAAACATGTGCTGAAAATATTTGTGTGCTGAAAACATGTGAATTGTGTGCCATAACATTTGTTTTTAAGTGCTGAAAACATGTGTTATTTATGAGTACATTTATCATTGGAATTTTCTTACATGTTATTTATGAGTACATTTAAGGAGTACATTTTATAAATATTTTCCTGTGCAGTGTCACCTTATTTCTGTTTTAAAAAATGAAAATTGAAAAGAAAGGTGCTATCAGTCCAATAATATGGCAATGTGATAGCTGCTAGTTTTTATTATTTGCAACATGTAATTTTATTATGAGGTATGTCTACTTATATATATGCCCAGCAATGCTATTATATCAGTCCAATATGGAAATTGATGAGCCATCAATCATTAAAACTATGGCCTTATTAATACGGTGTAATGAAAGACATTTTTTTCTTTGTGTTAGGCTGAAAATGTTGAAAATGTGTTCAACCTTTTTCTTTGTGAGGCTGAAAGTATGTTGTTTAATAAGCTATATTTAGGTGTGTATACTTAGGTTGCAGTATGCAGCAATTCTATGCGTATACCTAGGTTCAGCTACTTAGGTTGCAGTGTGCTGCTATTATATGTGATTAAAGAGCCTTTTGGAGGCTGCTATTATATGTGATTTGTGAGCTGAAAACATGTGTTTTTATTGTATTCAAATGCAGTTGTAAGTGAAAAATTGTTGTTCCAAGCCATGGTAATTGCTGTTTTTTTGTTACCTATATGATCCATTTAAGATGTCTATAAACCTTTTTTCAAAGGCCCAATATTTGAGAAAATTTACAACAGGAGCTTGTTCTGTGGGGTATTATGGATTGTTTTCTTTGAACCTAGAGTTATTACTATGTTTTTCAGCTCAACTAACAGGTTTGATGTTGATGTGTTCAGAAGTTAGATTATTAGATCCTAAATTTGTTCATGGTCAGAATTGTGTGGGAATTCAATAAGTATTTGAATTTGATAAATTTTGTCATATGCCTTGAATATCTATTTGAATTTGTTGAATTTGTCATATTGTGGAGCCTAAATTAGTTGATGCTGCCATTGTGTGATAGCTGAATATGTATTTGGATCTGTTCAAGTTGTCATATGACTTGAATATATATGACTTGAATATATCTATTTGAATCTGTTGGATTTGTGATATTGGAGCCCAACATTTATGTGGGTCTAAGATACATGGCAGTGCATCCTTGCACAGAACATAATAAACCAAACTTTAATATGAATATAATCGAACACTTCCTTTCTCTATAGCTACTTACACACACCACACAAACACATTGAACACATGTGAACCAACTTTAACAAAAATAAATTTATTTCACATGCTCGTGGTAACACCATTTGAGATGTGTTTAGTATTTTCACAATGTTCAATGAATGCGTGAAGTCCGTATGTTTTTCAATCTTTGTAGATGGATAACGTGCGAGACAAATTACTAATCCTCACTCTTCTGGAAGAGATTGTTCTTGGTGCTCGATTTTTTTTCATAGTAGCTAATTACTACTACCACAAATTCATACTCCCTCGCCGCCGTCGACGTTCGTTGATTAGCGGACGAACGTACCGGTTGAGGGATAGAGTGCCCCTTCAAGTGAGTCACATGCAAAGGCTAGTCGACGTCAGCGACAGCACTTGCCTTGAGAACCTCCGTATGGACAGAGATTGTTTTGGTCGCCTTTGTTTCCTCCTTGAAAATTTAGGGGGGCTTGTTCAATCTAGAAACGTTGCACCTAGTGAACAAGTTGCTATGTTTCTTTCAATCCTCGCACATCACAAGAAGAACGTCACCTTAAAGTTTGATTTTACGAGATCAGGACGAACTGTAAGCAAGTACTTTAACCGTGTACTTGATGCGGTAATCCGCCTTTACACTGTTCTAGCTGCCTCACCTACCCCAGTTGACGATGCTTGTTCAGATGAACGGTGGAAATGGTTCAAGGTAGCCTACAAATTAAGACCCTTAACAACGCTTAGTCAATTTTCAATAGCTACTTCTTCGAAACTAATACCATTTTTTTTTTTTAAATAGGGGTGTCTAGGAGCACTAGATGGTACATACATTAACGTTCGAGTTCCGTCAAAAGATAGGGGAAGATATAGAAATCGAAAGGGTCAAGTAGCAGTTAATGTACTTGGGGTGTGCGATAGAAATATGAACTTCGTTTACATGCTGTGTGGTTGGGAGGGGTCTGCTGCCGATAATCGAGTACTGAGAGATGCAATCACTAGGCCAAATTGTCTCCGAGTCCCAAACGGTATTCCCCCTATTTTGATTTGATGTCTACACAGCACCCGCCAATAAAACAATAAATCAAACATAACACAATCGTGTATAACGCAGGAAACTATTATTTGGTGGATGGTGGTTACACTAATGGTCCTGGCTTTCTAGCGCCATATAGGGGTGTCAGATATCACTTAGACGAATGGGGTACAGGTTCCCGCGCTCCACAAAACTTTAAAGAACTATTCAACCTTCGGCACGCCAAGGCTCGAAACGCGATTGAACGTGCTTTTGGCATTCTCAAAATGCGATGGGCAATTCTTAGGAGTAACTCATTTTACCCCATTCGGACCCAAAATCGCATTATAATGGCGTGCGCGCTTATTCACAATTTCATACGTAAAACAATGCCTGAAGACCCTATTGAGAATGATATTCTCGAATTCCCGGCACCTTCCAACCCAACATCTGATGACGACTACATAGACCAAGTTGAGGGCAGCCACGAATGGACCCAGAAGCGCGATCTCTTAGCCCAACAAATGTTCACAGAATGGCAGGGCGGTGTTCCCTAATGTAGAAACAAACATATTTTTTTGTGTACACAATGTAGACTTTC